TAAGATTTTGTATTGCTCCGAATAACAAATGATATTCCTTGCTCGGTTGAGATGTGTGATTATCACATTAGGTTTTAAAGATATATTGCAGAGCCCCCTCCTCCTTTCCTTTCTCTACCCTAAAAATTGTACACGCATTTTAACATTTTTGAGTCGATAGACTTCTTGAAAAATGAATATTTTGCAACCTAATCTTCTAACAACTTAATACAAGTTTAATATATAATGTATCAAAAACACTTTTTTTTTCTTTTTTTCAATATGGTGCTATTAAGTGAAAACACAACGTTAGTTTGTGTAGGAAGCATTCGAATAATTTCTCCTGAAAATTTAACTTTTGAAAAATAATAAACGTACGTGTTTAACATACTTTAAATCCAAATGAATCAATAATATTCACGGTTGTTGCTTTTGAACGCCTTTAACGTATCTTTTAACATGCCGTCTAAAACAAATTATTGTTACACATCATGATCAATTCTCAAGCTATTTGTTGAACATCTATGACGTCATGGGTGGGAGTTTTTCATCAATGGCAGATACAGCATAACAAAATAGATACATTTTATTTTTGTTAATATTTGAATGTTTCTATTCATTTCCAGGAGTTTAATTTCATCCCTAAATACAAATATGAAGAAAACTTGTGTTCTAAAATTGACGACATCTCGCCTACTATGACGTCATATTAAATCACTGATTTAATCAAATTAGAATATCGATTGATATCCAGTTATGGTAAAGAACTCAATAAGAGTGCCAAATGTTTAAACTTGACAATATCATAAAAGAAATATATTTAAACACATCCTTAATTGATGACATTTTTGCTCTTTCATAACAATGTAGCATTTTGAAGCATTTGAAAATGGCAGTTGATAATTAAAATATAATAAAACCTGCAATGTAGCTAGACCCTAAGATTGAAGTTTAGATACAGTTTTCTTTTTTTGGAATTTAAAGCTAAAGGATATTTTCACGTTTGCAAACCAATGATTTTATAATTATTTCGAAACTATCATCAGCTTAGTGTCCGAAAGTTACATAAACCCAATCCATATATTTGGTGTTGTAGTTTTTAGATAATTTAAACAAAATTCAAACATAAAATAAAAGTTAAGCTCATTTCATCAATTAGGCATTGAGAATATTACAAAAAATTTTAACATATGATAAATTATAGAATTCAAATAGATGAATGGTAATTTAATGAAAGTATAGCACAGAATATCATTATATTTTGAAAGCAAAACTCAGCAATAATTTTAATTAACCTAGTAAAGACATTTACTACTCATCTTCTGTACGATCTGCATATATCTTTATCTTGTCAATTAAAATAGTTTAAAATTAGTCTCATTTAAAATACATTCTCTTCATTTATTTCTGTGTTATGTTTTAGTTCTTCCTATCTATAGATTGTAAGGAAATTCAGGAAAATGGTCCATACAATTCTGGTGTGTACGAAATTTTTCCTGATGTGAATATATCCCGTCCTGTTCAAGTTAACTGCGACATGGAGACACAGGACGGTGGATGGACGGTATCTCGTTTCTTTGAAAAAATTCAGAATTTGCGCACAATACATATATATCGACGATATTTATTTTGTTTGATTTTATTTTACTTATCTCCATCGCGTGAATACCACCCTCACGAGTAATTAGATAAAGAAGATATGAAAATGTCTTCATTGATGAGAGAACTGCTGGAAAATAAACCATTTCCAATGTTATTACTGTTAAAAAGTCTCTATATGTGATTATTCCGTACTTTCGCGTGAAAAAAGTCAAACAGTGTTAGAAGTGTGTTTACTTAATATCGCAGCCTTTAATATAACGGGTTTAAATTCTCTAGTTTTGTTTCGCTCTTTAGTGGAAAATGTCCTTATTGTTCGATAATACAGCATTAATCACTCGATGAAAGTACTACCAAACATTGTTATAAGATCTGAGAAACAATTTCAACTTTATTTTTCTTCAAAATGAGTGTGATGTAATATGAAGAATATGAAGAATAGTAATCAGTTTCATAAGTCCATTGGAACAACACAAATCTGGAGCAAAAAACTATGGAATCCGGATAGGGCCACGCAGTTCACTATCGCATCATCGCACCATCGAGGTTTGAGTCGATAGTGCGATGACGCGATAATGCGATGACGATGAAGCGATGGTGCGATAACGATGAAGCGATGGTGCGATAGCGCGATGCCGATGATGCGATGGCACGACAATGCGATGACGATGATGCGATGGTACGATTAAGCGATAGCGCGATGACGCGATGGCACGATAGCGATGATACAATGGTGCGATAGCGATGATGCGATGGCGCGATACTGATGGCGCGATGCTATATCGTGTCATCGTTATTGCTTTATCGCACTATCGTCATCGTGTCATCGCACCATCGCTCTATCGACTAGTACTTTCTATAACCGGATAACATTCCAAGCAGTCATTGCACAACTTGGCGTTTGTTGACGAAAAGATTCAAGAATATTTCTTTAACGGATACGATAATAAAGAAATCATATTCCTTCTTTGGAGTAATTATGGTGTGAAAATAAGGTAGGTATTATTAATTGTCATAAGTTATGATAATACAAGTACCTGTATAGGCTAATATTTTCTCTAAGAGTAATAAAGTTACTATGCATTAAATTTATAGTCTCATTCAAAGATTGTTTATATGCGTGTTCTACTTGCATATATATACATGTATCTGTTATTTAAGAAATAGTGATTGAAGTTAAAATCTCCCATTTTAAGATATATTTTATGCATTATTTTTTTTTAAATACTTAAGCTGTAGACATTTGAAAAGGCGCATGACCAGACTTAATTTGAGAAGACGGAGATCATACAATGTGGATATGGCAATAAGGCCTATTCAGGTAATATTGCTTGTGTTTTATTTCATCTTTCTTTTTTGATAGATTGATCAAATCTAGAAAAATCGTCAGTAACATCTACATTTTGATGATAGCTCATTATGTTTTAGTTAACTCATACAAATGTCAAAAATTTCATATGATTTACATATATTCTACTCAAAGGAAGAAATGATGTTCAGTGAACAGACTCTTGGGTGTCGTTTGATGAAACGAAGACTTCCTCAGAAACATGGCATCTTTATAGGAAGGTATATTATCTTATTATGATTAATTAACAGAATTCAAACGATGTGCCTATTGCTTATAATGAGTTTTATATCAATAAGATATTTATCATAATTTCATTGAATTCATTTTTTTTGTTAAAATGTAATGGTTAGATTTAAAATGGTTGATGATTAATTATATATATATACTGTTCCAGGGATAACATGTGTTTATTGAGAATAATCGATCCTGATGGAGTTGATCTAAGAACAAGTCACTGCTTGACAAGAAGAATGTATCTAAACAATGGACCAAATTATCTTGCACATGTTGATGGGTACTACAAGTTGAAGCCATTTGGCTTCGCTATACATGGTGCAATGTGATCAAATCTAGAAAAATCGTCAGTAACATCTACATTTTGATGAAAGCTCATTATTGTTAATAACTCCTACAAATGTTAAAAATTTCATATGATTTACATACATTCTACTCAAAGGAAGAAAAGATGTTCAGTGGACAGACTCTTGGGTGTCGTTCGATGAAACGAAGACTTCTTCAGAAACATAGCATCTTTATAGGAAGGTATATTATCTTATTATGATTAATAAACAGAATTCAGGTTTCTTGTTCAAAGTATTAATTTTATTTCTTTAATTCAGCAGAATGCCAATTATACAGAATATTTGCTGACATTACTTTTATGAGCTTAAGGATATACACAACATAGTGTTGGAATTTTATTTTCTTATTCCCTTGTTGATTTAATTAAGAGTTCAATAATTGAAAAACCTTTGTACAATTTAATGATTCCTGTAAATGCTGTTATCACCTCTGAAGCAAATGTTGAGGAAATACCAGCTAAAACTATATTTTTGTTAATTTTTTTCATTGAGAAAATACAATGATTTTCATCATTTGACAACTTTTGAAAACACCTGGTAATGTATGCTTTTTTTTTGTCTTAAAACACCTGCTGAGATTCTATAATTTTAAATTAGGAATATCCTGGAAAATAGTTGGTAAGGTACATGTAAATGCAAGTTGCATATGACCTTAAGAGGCAATAATGCTTTTCTTAGTCAAAATTTGCAATTTCTATACTACTTGACATGTATTTCTAACTCAACCCTTTAGTTTCCTTTTCTTTCAGAAGGTACATCTGAAATTAATCTAAACATGTTCTTGGCGTACTGGACTGGAGCTGACACAATCCACTAGGATTTCACAAAAAGCTTGAAATTAAATTTGTAGAAGACCCTGCCTGTTTGCCAGTTGCACATACCTGCGATCTTTTGTTGGAAATATCTAGGGGAGAACCCCTGAGGAATTTCACAGAAAAATGTAGTTGGCAATGACTTGGGGGGGGGGGGGCGTTCCATCTTGCTTAAGAAAATAACTTTATGTATTCAATGCTATATCTATGTTTAGAAAGTTTTCATTCAATTAATTTTTAAACTCAATAATGGCAGTGATAGTCATATTAAGGAATAAGAGTATTTCTTAAGGGAAAGATAATACTAAAAGACATTGATAATCATATGAGGAGCATTTCTTCAGGGAAAGATAATACAAAAAGACATTGATTTTTGTATGGGAATATTAATTGATATTTGGTGCATTTGTGGTAGTAAACATGCTTTTGAATTTTAAATTCTAGATTGTTGCATCTGTATGCCAAAAAAGCTTTTCTCAGAGCAGTTTGCTTTCCTTATATCCTCATTTTGCAATTTTCATTAATAATTGTTCTAATGAATATGGCATGTATGGTGACCCAATAAACATAGTAATAATTTCTGTTTGTGACTTTTAATTCATACACTTAGATGATTAGTGTACAACATTTTTCATGAAAATTGAAAAAAAAGTCAAGTGAAACATCAGGTGATGATTTATTCTCTAATCTTAATTTGGATTTTACAACTTTCCAACCAAGTACTTCAAAGCCTCCATGGCCTTCTCAGTGGTGTTTGGAACAGTTCTCCCACCCTCCAAAAGCAAATGATCAAAGTATGCTGCATTGTCCTCACACGTCCTGTCGAGCTTGGACTAGGAAATAATCTTTGAAACTCTAGCACGTCATGAATATCCACTGGAAATTTATAATCTACTGCACCTGTACATAAAAAAAATGAAGTCATAATGTGTTGATACTGTTTTAAATTTGAGCACTGAAAAACAACCAAGGTATCGAAGGAGAAAGGTAAACACAGAAAAATATTCAAATTAAAGTTAGTGATTAAAAAAATCTTTGCTAGGAAAAAATACCAAAAATTTTAGGGTGGAAAAACATCATTTCTGGTTTTTCCTGGGAGACTTCCATCAAAATCATTATGATAGCGTCTTTGTGCCCTGATGTAATGGTTATTCCATTCTGTTTTTATTTGATCAAGTTCTTGTCGGATGATTTTCATAAAACAAAAGCGAAGGCATTCTCTAAATTGCATGCAGAAATATCATAATAGGTTATAATCACATAAATTCTTTAAGTATAAATAAAGAATTTATTTCTCTTCTTACATGTGCTCTTTATTTGCTGATGAGAACATCCCTTGGTCTTTCATGTTTTTGAACAAGTGTATCCAGAAGGAGATGCCCATCTCTCTCAGTGTTCTCCACCAGCGTTCAATTCTCTTAAATCAAAATGTGTTTTTGAAAAACTGAAGGCTGATTTTTCAAAAGTAGGTCAAACTTCAAGGTTATTGAGTACAAATGTTTTTTTTTTTTTTTTTTTTTTTTTACAAGAAATACACTTGAGAAATATGAAATCTCTAACATCAACCATTCAGAAGTTATGTCCAAAATTAAATTTTTTTCACAAGAAGGTCGAACCCTATGGTCAAGGTCATTACGTCAAAAAATGTTGGTGCATTAAAGTCTTTGCAGATAAAAATACAGACAGACCCAAAGCTATATGGATAAGGCCTCCGAATCTTGAATCATAGGGGCATAAAACAATCACATAAATATATCATATATAAATTCATAATGATACAGAAACAATAATTTGTATATCAGATTATGTGCAGAGATATTTTAAATCATTAAACTGACTTCATTTTCAAATATTTGACAACAGGTTTCTTGAAAGGGGTATAGAAAGGGGTATGGGAGGGTTATCCCTCCCCCAGGTCAGAAAATTTATAATAAAAATGCATACAAGTCTGTTGCATTCTGGGGGTAATTTTTTTTCAAATATATAATAAACAAATAAATAGCAAAACTTTAAACAAAAGATTGGTGTTTTCAGGGGTTGCAATTGCATCCATGCCCCCCCCCCCCCTTAATGGCTCTGTAGTATAACTAATACTATAAAAAGAACTGTGTCACCTTGAACTCTATTAAATGAAACTGATGCAAATAATGAAAGTATGAAGTTTGCAAAATTTATTATTTTTAAAATTATCTGTGGTATCAGATTACACAATGACGCCTATGAAAGATAATAATATGAAGAATTTTTTTTTTTTTTTTTTTTTTTTGGTCTTTGAAAAGTAATAGTGAAAATAATCAGTTGATCTATTTTCCCTCAGGAAAAATGTTCAGATAAGTAGAGAGCTTGAAAAGAAACTTAAATAAGGATTACACATACAAATTTTTAAAGTATTCAATTACTTCAGTTATTTGATCTTATATCAAGTTGGGACTTACTGAATTGACTGTGATTAGTAGACTATTCAGATTTGATCAAGCCCCCCCCCCCCCCATTTTCAAATCAAAGTGCAAATTACTCTAACTTCTACTGCAGGAGTGTTAACTGGAATTGGAACTAATCCTAGGTGTGCAGATTTTAGAAGGTTATTAAACTCATCTGATTTGTTTATGCAATATAAGTTACTGAATCATATCGTTATTTAAAAAAAAGCTTCATATTCATACCTGGTTAGACATTGATCTTCCTTTGATTACACTCTTTTCTCCACACATGTCATCATTATCGTACCAACGGAAGGATTTTTGAATGTCCTCAATGTATATATTCTCAGTTCCAGCATCAAGTCTCACACCTTGGAGCACCTATGTATTGGAAAACTCATACTACCATGAACTGAGACAAATATGGTTTCTTTGTTCAAGTAAATATTTTTTACAAAATAATGCATTTTATGTGTATTTATTCTGTATCAATACAAAATAATGTATTTAGAATGTTACTTAGTAGAAAATTAACTTGTGAAAATTGAACTGCATTTACAGTTTTCAGGAATATATTTATCAATGATTTGTAAAAATTATATACTCAACTATTTATTTCCTCCAGGAATTTCAAGAAATATGATGCTACAACAAAGGAGTCATTGTTTGTTCTTTCAACTTTAAGCCATAGTATTCGTCTTGAAAATCTGAAAGAATAGGAATTTGATCATTTAGATTAATAGTTAATATTGTTTTCTGATATGTAGCTACAACAGTATATAACAATCATAAATTCTATAACTTCATAAATTCTTGTTATCTTACATGACTCAAATGAACACTAAAAGCTGATGCACATTAACTTACCCACACATTGCACCATGTATAGCGAAGCCAAATGGCTTCAACTTGTAGTACCCATCAACATGTGCAAGATAATTTGGTCCATTGTTTCGATACATTCTTCTTGTCAAGCAGTGACTTGTTCTTAGATCAACTCCATCAGGATCGATTATTCTCAATAAACACAACATGTTATCCCTGGAACAGTATATATATAATTAATCATCAACGATTTTAAATCTAACCATTACATTTTAACAAAAAAAAATGAATTCAATTAAATTATGATAAATATCTTATTGATATAAAACTCATTATAAGCAATAGGCACATCGTTTGAATTCTCTTTATTAATCATAATAAGATAATATACCTTCCTATAAAGATGCCATGTTTCTGAAGAAGTCTTCGTTTCATCAAACGACACCCAAGAGTCTGTCCACTGAACATCATTTCTTCCTTTGAGTAGAATATATGTAAATCATATGAAATTTTTGACATTTGTATGAGTTAACTAAAACATAATGAGCTATCATCAAAATGTAGATGTTACTGACGATTTTTCTAGATTTGATCAATCTATCAAAAAAGAAAGATGAAATAAAACACAAGCAATATTACCTGAATAGGCCTTATTGCCATATCCACATTGTATGATCTCCGTCTTCTCAAATTAAGTCTGGTCATGCGCCTTTTCAAATGTCTACAGCTTAAGTATTTAAAAAAAAAATAATGCATAAAATATATCTTAAAATGGGAGATTTTAACTTCAATCACTATTTCTTAAATAACAGGTATATACATACAAGTAGAACACGCATACAAACAATCTTTGAATGAGACTATAAATTTAATGTATAGTAACTTTATTACTCTTAGAGAAAATATTGGCCTATACAGGTACTTTTATTATCATAACTTATGACAATTAATAATACCTACCTTATTTTCACACCATAATTACTCCAAAGAAGGAATATGATTTCTTTATTATCGTATCCGTTAAAGAAATATTCTTGAATCTTTTCGTCAACAAACGCCATGTTGTGCAATGACTGCTGGGAATGTTATCCGGTTATGGAAAGTACTAGTCGATAGAGCGATGGTGCGATGACACGATGACGATAGTGCGAGAAAGCAATAACGATGACACGATATAGCATCGCGCCATCAGTATCGCGCCATCGCATCATCGCTATCGCACCATTGCATCATCGCTATCGTGCCATCGCGTCATCGCGCTATCGCTTAATCGTACCATCGCATCATCGTCATCGCATTGTCGTGCCATCGCATCATCGGCATCGCGCTATCGCACCATCGCTTCATCGTTATCGCACCATCGCTTCATCGTCATCGCATTATCGCGTCATCGCACTATCGACTCAAACCTCGATGGTGCGATGATGCGATAGTGAACTGCATGGCCCTATCCGGATTCCATAAAAAACAAATCACGGACCTCTTAAAACATCGAAGGTGGGATGAGGTGCATAGCAACAGTAAACGTCAGTCATTATTCAATTGGCAATATAACAAGATCAATGTATCGACCATGGAAATTGCGAAATGCTGACTTTAAACAGGACTGTTGATATCCTTTTATCAACATCTTTCTTGTCAATAGTTTGCCTCATTTGCGAATTTTTTTGTACATAGAGAATGCTCTTGCGTATATACTCATCTGGGAGACATAAACTCCATATCCAGGTGATAATAGTATATCATTACAAAAATAAATCTTTCTAAAATCATTTTATACAGAACTTAATCATTGGAAATTGTTATATTTTTGGGATAAGGACAGAGGGGTGTTTAATTAAACTCTGAATGAATATTCAGTTTACTAAATATAGATATTAACATGAATTAATTAGAATCTGTTCTTTTGTAATTCAATAGATTAATTTGATACAGTATACATTTCACACTTATTATAGGAAAATGTGTCATAATTGTTTTTTATTATTATTATTATTATCTTTCTCTTTTTTTAATCGTTAAAAGGTTATCCAAAAGCGTGTAAATGGAATGGGAAAAATGGGACTTTAACAGGATATGGGAAGACTATAAGAATGGTTTTGGTGCCCCGGAACAAGATATCTGGATTGGTAAATATAAATCTGATTAAAACCAGGTTTTTGCTTCTTATTAGTATAATGTACCTCAATTGGTATGTAATGTGAAACTTTAAACCCAGTCATTCACCCGCTCTTAAAGTTGGCAAATGACGTTTTAAGTGATAAGTTAAATTTTGCCTCGTACTAACGATGAAACTTTTACACTAGGACATATTATAGCATTTTACTATATTTATTGCAATGATTATTTGTCATGTGATTAATTACAAGATGAAGGGTGACTGCACTTAATTATAAGTAATTGCAAAAATAGCGGCAAAATTAATTTTCAAAATAAGTCTTTCTCTTTTAATTCGAGAAACGGTATCTAAAAAGCAACTTTACTTAATTACACTAATACAAAGTTTGTTTTTACATATTTACATATTGTGGGCTCTCTTTCATCGTCAAGGTCATTACGATTTCCGGAATCTCCATGAGGTCGCCGACTATTTTTGCTACGTACATAGTCAACAGATGATTCTTTTGTTCTCCGATTAGAGGGACTTTTGTATATGTTAAGTCTGTGTCAAAAAAATTAACATACTTCAAAAAATATTCGTCTTACATGTGCTGGATTTAACCCAATTGTGGCTTGTTGAATATCATAATAAATCTCTTAATTTTTTTTACTTAATGTTACTTTGTGAATACTAAAATTTGTCACATGTTTGGTATTGAAAAATATGTTTTAGAAGATATTTATCGTACTTTCCTTGCTTTTTATCAGAGAATTAAATTATTTCGTAAACACTTAACTGCATAATTACATACTATCTTGAGTATATGAAAATGCTATGAAAGTCTTAGTGAATGTAATAATTTCAGTGTGTCATTATCCTTTATATCTTTGGTTATATGCTTTACAAACTGAGCTACAAGAAAATTGTGTTTTAACTAGTTTTATTAGTCAGGTATTGACAAACAATCATAAGTCCCTGCAGGTGTTTGTCCTTTTTCTCAATATCGTTTTGAAACTGTTGTAAATACTCTTATCTTACAGTTGGCAGACAGACCTAACTTTACAATATTAGTTCCATTCAAGTAAAAAATTTCTTCATCTTTATTCAAGGATGCAAAATTAGTAAACAAAAACAAAAACAAAACAAAAAAAAACGACCCAATTATTTTTTTTGTCTCAAATTATAAAGTAAGAAGATGGACGAAGAAGGCAAGGAAAATGCCTAATGTGTGACAAACAAGATAGTGAAAAATTAATCTGAATTATTATAAAATTATCTTTATTATTTCATTTAATGTTGATGCATACTTTATGTTTAATCTCAACAATTTGCTACAATCTCAATCTTATGAGCTTTGTAGGTAGGCTAGTGTGTTAGTCTCTAAGAAAAAAAACTCGGGATTTTTCTTGCTTGGGTTCGAACCCTCAATATATCACATATTATTTTTGAGTTATAGAATTTTGTTAAAAGGATTTTTCGCAGAAAAGTTCTGTTTGTCATAATTCAATACCTTTCAACAATAAGAATTTTAAATACAAAATCTACGAATTGCACAAGCCATTTTTTTTAATTTAAAGCCATAGGCATTTTGCACGCTCTTTCGCTCAACTCCTTTGATTTGTTTGTTTGTTGTTTAACGTCCCTCTCGAGAATTTTTCACTTATATGGAGAGACCACCACTTGCGGTTAGAGGGATGCAAAGAAGAACGTACGGTTTTAGCTTTATTCTGCCCTAAAAATCTAATGTTTTCAAAAAGTTTTGAAACTGGCTTAAATATTAGTTGAGTATATGACTGTGATAAATCAGGAAAGAATATGGCATGAAGGAGTACCATTCTGGAAATATGACGTCATCAATTTGATTCATTTCTCTATTTTAAACAGAAAATGCCTCAAAATGACTCATTTCAAGGGTTATTTTCCTAAAGAAAATAGTGTCCACAGCCGTCGCCCACTTTAATTTTTGGATATGTTGTGTAAAATTCTTTGAAAAATCACATATCTCAAAATCTTTGTGGGCGATGGCTGTGGACAATATTATCTGAAAGAAAATTGGTGTCTTCTGCAACTTTTTAAGAAAATACGGGAAATTGCACACGTTTATGACGTCACAATTAGCATTTAGAAGGTCATGAGAGAAAAATGATTTGTATGATCTTTCTGCATGGAATTTCAATGATTCAGAAAGCATGAGTTTTAATTTTTCACATCACTTTCATTTTTAAGAAAAACACAGGGCAAGAATTGTATTGAAACAGTACTTTGTTCTTTAGACATATACCTGGCACACAGGGCCCTTGAGCAGGAAGGATCTTTTCCTTGCCAGCACCTACTCCGTCACGGGACCTCGGTTAATACGGTCTCATCCGAAGGACCAGTTTTCACGTCACATATTAGGATTCAAACCCATGATGTAACGATAAACTCCTTTCTCCTTGACTTTAGAGCAAATGCTCTAACCATTGCGCCACGCGTACGACTAAACTCCTTTGAAATTCAAATTTGTTTGAAATTTTGAAATTAATCATATTCTTTAACAAAATAACGCAAATTAAATTCATTAAGATTTGAAGAACGAAAACACCCATTAAGTGCAGTTATCAATAAAAAGAAATAATTAATCAGATGCGGGAAAGAAGAACTCTTGGTCGTGTCCATGCTTTACCACTCATTAATGATGAGAACAGTTGACTGTTATATTGACACAATTTAAAGTTCTTGAGTATGAGGAATACAGTACTTGCTATTAAGTATACAGTAAAACACAATTTAGCGAACACGCTTATAATGCATTGATGCTTACAGAAAAGTTATTTTCATTCTCCACGACTTTAAAATATATTGTAAACTTAACGGATATAACGAATTACGTTTATAACGAAGCAATATCGTCAGTCCCTGGCACTTCGTTATAAGCGTGTTTTACTGTAATTTGTTGTTGTTGTTTTTTTTTACTGTTGTTTGATTCATTATAGTATACTCTGTTTGCTTTAAATGAAGAAAACATTGAGCGAAAGTAAAATGATT